TCATTATGAAGACGGAAAATTCTACAAACATACTAAAAGATCAATAAATGCAATGCATCAAAATGTATAATAGTTTTTAAAATAATATAGATTGATAAACCTGAAGATGATGTCATAAAACATCGAAACATGTCGTCCAAAAACAAAAATAAAAGCGCTGAATAATGTAATGTCGTACTACGATAAAGGAGCGCCATAAATATAACATAATATACTTTATACTGTAAATGTTATAATATTTTAACAACATTATTTTAAATAAGTTTGTGTATAGACTGTAAAATAAATATATGTATTTGATTCAACACAAACATGACGCACTTAAGATACAAAGAAAAAGTTCACATGAACATGGTTCTGAAAAATCCTGCTTTCCCAGTTAAATCCTCAAAATTTTCGACGTGGCGTCATATTTTCACTGATTCCCTTCACCCCACCCTCGGAGTACCAACAGAGCGGAACGAAAAACTTCAATAGCAACTACCTGTGTCATTTATGATTACAGTTGTTTACAACGTATAAATTCCGCGTGTCGACCAATCAAATTTCAATTAGTCATTTTCCTGTTATCCAATGGCAACCGTAGAAATACGATGCCAACATTGTTCAACAGTGTAGCTGTATCGCTGTTGCAAATCAAATCTATTCTTACCAGATGTTTCGTGAAAATTAACTTACTTTCATTCATTCCACGAAATGGAAGACACGCAAATCTTTTGTGAGCGATCAAATTGCAACATTATGAAGGTCAGGCACCTCCAAAAGAAAAGTTTCCCGCAATAATTACTTCCAAACGGGGGTTAAATACCTGCTGCTACAGTTACGACGCTGCGTCGGAAATTTCGTAAAGGAAAACGGAGCTGTAACTCAGAAAAGACTTTCCGGACTCGTGTGGATAAACGTTTACATGTATTTCGGCAACGGGCTTGCAAAATATGCGCCATTAGCTTCGCCACGGATAAAGATCACTGTCTACTGGAATCTTGCGCCGTGTTTCAGAGGTGTCTCCATCATCCAGGGCAGTGGTATTCAACCTTTTTTGTTCTCGTACCCCCAGATATAATTTCTCTTCAACTTTGTACCCCCAAAGTTGTTGGTGTATAATTCAAGTTATACATAGTATATAATCTACATCTAAAATAAATTAAATAAATGACATTACTGATTATTCGGTGTTTGCCATAAAATAATATATTTTTAAATTTCACGTACCCCCTAAGATGTCTTCGCGTACCCCCAAAGTTGTTGGTGTATAATTCAAGTTATACATAGTATATAATCTACATCTAAAATAAATTAAATAAATTACAGTACTGATTATTCAGTGTTTATCATAAAATAATATATATATTTTTTAATTTCACGTACCCCCTAAGATGTCTTCGCGTACCCCCAAAGTTGTTGGTGTATAATTCAAGTTATACATAGTATATAAGTAAATTAAATAAATTACATTACTGATTATTCAGTGTTTATCAAGAGGAATGCATACAGGGTTTTGGTGGGCAAACTACAAGGGAAGAGACCACTGGAGACGCAGGTGGAAGGATATTATTAAAATGGATCTTAGAGAAATAGGATAGGGTGGTATGGATTGGATTCATCTGGATCTGGATTCTTCCGTTTTATGAAACTATGTTTCATTAGCCAAATCACTAGATAAGTAATGAGTATAATCTGATGTGGAAGGTCCACAGTAAAGATGTGACGCCATTTTTAGTTCCCATTTTAAATTTAATGAACAAATTAAGGGGGATTAGAATGTGTCATCTTCATTCAAACATCACAACACACAATGACATCTTAAAGGTAAATTAACAGTAGACGTACGTAATAATCGTATTTCTACAGAGCCAATTCAAACAGATAACAATGATGTATTTCACTAAAATGGCATTCATTCTACAACAATTATAATTAAAAAAACAGTTCCCAAATTTCAGTTCTCCAAGAACATCTTCCTAAAAAAAATCAATGGGCAAAGTCCCATATATAATTATATTCCCCCTTCCAAGAATTATTTCCTCACGTGTCTTCTAAACCGTCCAGAAACCCACTTCAACTGACCCACTATTTTTTCGTTTAACATTCATTTCCCTTCTGAAATGGATAAAACTAAAATGTATATCAAACAGCAACATTAAAATACCTAATTATTCTTTGTGAATGTTAGTGAATCCCCAGAAATATTTTTTGTACACTCAAAGGGCTCACAAACTGCAGTCTGGGTGCCACTGATCTAAAACCTACTTCTATATTCTGCATCATAAGCTGCATGGATCTCGTGTACAGCTTCTAACTACGAAAACTCTTCAACGGTCATTCCATCAATGCCAGACACCTAGACACGTAAAGTACAGTCAAAAATTCTTCAACTACGCACACAAACTGAATAAACCAACCACTTTTACACAATTATTGGCTATTTATTTGCCAAACATATATCATTTTCATGAAGTCGTCATCATATTCGGATCAATATACGATAAAGGAATACATTAAATTATAAAAACTCTACCCTGGTAAAAGGTTGTCAGTGGAACCACGGTTC